CATGCTGCACCCGCTCAATCCTTTTTACCTCGCCCCTGGTGATAGGACAATACGCGGGAGAGCCATACTCTAGCATTAGTCGTATTATTGTGACGAAGAGGCGAGTGGCAGTCTCTTCGGACCAAGTGCTGAAGCTGCGCCTGAGCGCCCAAAGTATACGAAGGCTGTTTTACTAAAGCCTATCCGTGTTGTCCATGGACTTTAGGTCGTAACGTGAGAGTACACCGTGGTCTCGCACGAAAGGCACGGGATGCAACTGTTGACCGGCCACCGTGTAGGTTCGACTGTGCTCACACTTACCCAGCCTCCTGTATTGCTACTTGACCGAGTTGATCTAAAGGTTGACCTCTGCAGACCACATGGAGAGGCGGTCGAGATCCTGCTGAAGCAGGTCATAATTATTGGGTGTGCGGATTACTCTCCACACCTTCAAGTCATCTGCGAACAACGCACAAGGTGATTGGAGTAGCTGAGGCACATCGTTTACATGGATCAGAAACAAAATCGGCCCTAGTACAGTGCCTTGGGGCACGCCACTACTCGATGGATACCAGTCGGTCAGATGGTTATCCACCTGGACCCTCCACTTTCGATCAACAAGGAACTTCTTGATCCATCGATGCAGCGAGCCACCAACACCGCACACCCTCAGCTTGTCCAGGAGCACTGCATGATTTACCTTGTCAAAACCTTACTGAAGTCAATGTAAATGATGTCGACCGACTTGCCTTGGTTCAGCACTTGTAACCATTCGTCCCTCGTCAACAGTAGGTTGGTGATGCAGGAGCGACCTTTCATGAAACCAAGCTGTGTGGGCGTCAAGAGGCTTTTCGACTCGAGAAGATGCAGAAGACTCTTCTTCACGATCTTCTCGAGCGTCTTTGCAAAACAGCGGTTAGACAGCTCGGCCGGTAGTTATCCACTTTGCTTGAGTTACCACTTTTCGGTATTGGCTTCACGACTGAGCATTTCCAGCCGCCCGGTAATAGCCCAGTGGCTAGTAACTTGTTGAACAGCTCAGTCACAGAAGGTGAGATGATGGCCGATAGGGACTTGAGGATCAGTGGGTGGATTCTATTTGTTCCGGCAGGCTTCGTCCCGCCAAGATTTGCCAGAAGCTTGCGTACAGCTTCAATGCTGCAATCCAGGCTGTCTAGTTCAGCGGGAGCGGTACTCTTCGAACTCGTTACAGACACCTGGTCACTTACAAATACCGAGGTGAAGTGCGCCGCCAATGCGGACACACGATCTGTGCTTGAGGTTAGGAGCTGTCCATCTGAGCCTTCCAACACTGGCACCTTGCCCGCAGGCCCGGCGCCGCTTCACGTAGGCGAAGATCCTCTTGGGAGCAGTTTTTGCGTCGGTTGCAAGCTACTCTTCGAAGCTTCTGCGCTTTTTTGTTTCCGCGCTGTTGCAGAGATTTCGCTGTACCTTGTGCGCCTTGTAGTAATATGCGAACATCCCGACAACTCGCTTTTGGGACTTCAAGTCATTGGGGAGCGGGAGTGGACGTAGAGTCATCATCCGTTCGGGATCGGGCGTTATTTCACCCTAGATATGTGGTAATCGAGGAGGTGGATTTCCTCGAAGGTAATAACGCTTTTAGTGTCGTTCAAGATGATACCGTATTGAGCAGCTGCTTTCAACAACTGTTCGAGGTTGTATTCGTGGTTCTCTCTCGTGACCCCACAAAATGTCACCTTGTCAATGTAGGCAAAATTGTCGTTGAGGCTTTCCACTTTCAGTATCTCGCCAGGCCTGTGCTGAAAACTGGACACGCCATTCGTAACTCCAAAGGAAATACGACGAAATTAATAAAGGATTTCCACACCTTTCAAATGCAGTGTAAGACTATTCATGTTCGGCTATAGGAAGCTGATGGTAAGCATTTTTCAAGTCTAGTATGCTATATACGGCAGGACAAAAAATGGTCTCCACCATTTTATTCGTACGCGGTGTTGGATAGGCATTATGAAGGATAAAACGATTGACCGTTCGGCTGTAGTCGACAACCATCCTTTTCTAATGCTTTATATTTTTGATAACAAGTAGCTGTTTCCTCCAAGGCTAGCTTGACGGTTCAATGACGCCGTCGTTCAAGTGTTGTACTTTGGCTTTTATAAAGCGCTCGTCGTCAAGTTAGAACTCGAGATTTGGTAGTAAACGGCCGGTAGTCTAAGAAGGGTGAGCAAACAGGAGAGGCGATTCTGTTTGACCGCGGTGAGTCCACCCAACGAGAATTTCCCGCGTTCACCACCAAACGATAGTTCCACTTTGTTATGCAACTCAAGGAATTCGTGGCCGAGCAGAGCATCTGCGCATAAGTTACGCATGACAAAGCAGAACGTTGTTCTTGACAACGTCTTGGTAGCAGGTTTGCATATTGCGATATTCGGTAATTGCACTTGACAGAGGTAGAGCCCATGGTGATTTTGGAGCCACAGGGAAGGACGTTTCAGTGGTGGGGGTTGACTACAGATTGAGAACCATAGCAGTCAGAACTGCCAATATCTATTTGAGCGTGTAAACCGATGTTGTTACCAAGAGGCTTGCTTGTTGTGCGGGACAAACAGTTGGGAGCAGCAGCCGTTAGAACAAAAGACAGGAAGAAACAGAGGGCTGTAGGGGCACGAGTATAAACTGACTCGTTTGAAGTGTCCAGTCTTTTTACAGGTCTTGCAAATGGCTTCTCTCGCCGGACACTTTCCACGAAGGTGTTTGGGATGACCACAGAAATAACTTTCTCTAGGTACAGCTGATATGACAGGTTCGGTTTCAGACGAGTGAGTGGATGGAGAATGTATACGTGGATAGGCACAGAATGAACTGAAGAACATGGAATAATCTCAATTTCGTAGGAGCTTGATTGTTTAGCGGCATTCTCAAGAGACTTTGCGATATCATCGGCAGTTTGAAAATTTAAAACCATCTGTCCCAGGAATCTCGTTCGAATGCTATTTGACTGTAATCCAGTTATAAGAGCGTCGCGCATAACATCATCACGATATTCTTCAGCTGACACAGAACGAAAATCACTATCCTTTGCCGACTGGTTGATGTTTTGCACGAACTGATGGACGCTCTGCCTACACTCTTGCTTTCACTAGTTATAAGGTGTCGAACAACAACAACAACAACAACAACAACAACAACATTCTTTTGGCGCACATACAAAAAGCGAAGAAGTGTAACGGCACTATCGAATGTTGGCATTCAGGAACATGTTTATAGACCAAAAGGGAAAAAACATTGACGAGCATGTCCAGATTGTCCAAGTCATCAGATCGAGTTCTTTTTAGGAAGGCGTTGCATGCTCGAAAGCAGTAAGTCCATTGCTTAGAAGCATCAGATGCATTTAGATCGATATCGAATTTGTTTAGACAAAGATAGCAATCCATGGAAATGCTAAACAAACAAATTGATGCGTCGAACGTAGATAGCACAACAAACGGGATACCTCGAACACGGAGGAATACGTTTTACTAGTCTAACAGCGGAAGTACAAAGCTGAAATGTAAAACAGAAGGTTTTGGTACGTTATGTAAAAGTCAGATGAGTGAATGGGAAAGCGCTAATACAATAGGTGGATTTCAAACAACTAACATTATATGGGCGTTTCTCTTACTTCCTAGGTGCTCCATGTCACTAATGGTATATGTCTGGTTGATCAATAAGCTTTGTACTCATTTGAATAGATCTTATTCTATCGATGTCATCATGCAAACCGATGTGTCTTCAGGGAATACCATCACCCCCTCGATGTTACAACTATCGGTGCACTAGTCTGTGGCATTAATCTTCGGGTGATTTCCTCATTCGACATGCTAAGTCCAATTCGTTCTCTTATCATCGAGTCACTTAGACGATCACAAATTTGCACATGCTGTTTATAGCCTCGACTCAGCGATTTATTTACCAACCGACTCACTCGGAAATGACTACTAATGGATAAGTTACTTAGATTAGTCTCCTGGTTTTTTGAGAAACACCGACTTCTAGATACCCGACCCTTAGAACAATTTTTATGTCCTCATTTACAACAGAACGTCACCTGCTCCTTAGCAGTCGGCTGCTTGTTCAATTGCCCTAAGATAACAAAATCGTATCGCATCACTTTCCACGACAGCCAGTTTTTGGATAACGGGCTTCCGGTTATCTGTAATGGAGCCGTTATCGTGCTCTGTAGTTGATAACACAGGATGAGTTTCAGCATGCTCAACAGACCCCTTTAAGCTGTCTCTGTATTTAGTGGTTTTCATTGGCCAAACCAAGTGTTAGGATTCGTTCCACAACTACTCACCATAACACAACCCACGATGTATAGCAGATAGTGATTTGTGATGACTTGTTGTTATTGTGTTTTATTTCCTTACTGCTAGATGATACACACTTGATTTGGATGAATGCCGTTCAACCGCTGTTGTTGTATGTTCCAATCGCATTTCACTGCGTTATTGAGTTGGTGGCGCGTTGTGGACATCATCTTCGGTCCTTTTCCCCCGATGATTCACCTACTTTCGTTATTAGTTGCTTTTTACATTGATGATTGACACGCTTTGATTAGTTACTTTTCAACAAATCCTCAGTCTTTTCGATTTTGCTGAACTTTCAGCTACCTGTATGAAAACTGCGCTTATTAGATTTGTGATCTTTTGCCAGCTGACTTCGTCTTTCCTGTTTTGCTTTATCTTTCGTGTTTTAAAATGTTGTCGCGGTTGTTAGTATTCTGGTCCACTTCACGTCACTTCCCAGACCCTCGTTATCCAGCTGAACCGAGTTCACCATGTGACCTCCATCCTCTTACGTTTGTCATGTGTTTTTCGTACCTGTTCCTTTTCCGACCTTTCATTCGTATAGTTCAACTTTGTTTTACTTCCCACCCCCTCCGTTCTTGTCATGGTGTGTAGAGATGGTCAGAATGTATTTTAGGTTGACCACCTTATTTCCTTTTAACAGTTACTTGGGTTTTTTGATTTCAGGCGCTGTGAGCTAGTCAGTCGATGAGTGACCTCCCTTCCATTTTCTCCGAAGCACTGAAGAAGCACGATGAAGTTACCAATTTTATTGGCTCCCATTCCAGTCCAAAGTTTGAGGTACTGTTAGGTACATTACTTTAACATAGCAGAGCATTGTTAAGGAAGCCTGCAAATTGTGCGAACGATGTATATCAATGGTAAATGACCTCGAATTGTTCAGTAAAAATGAGACGATGGATGATCTAACTTCAACTGAAATACGGTAACTTCGTTCTTTTCCCCTAAAGTTAATCAGTTACCTCGTCCTACCATCAGTGTATGGGTATTTTCTAAGCCAAAGAAATGATGATCGATTAAACAACATCCGAATAGCTATCGTGAGTTCAACCAATTCATTCATCTTAATAACACGCAGTATCTATACAAAGAGTTTTTCCAACTTTGTGCCTCGTATGATGTCTACAAGCAGAAAAGCGGAGCGTGAGTCCGTTTTCCGGTATTGGCTAGCATTCACTTTTTTTAAACGTTGCATCCGGTTATTTTCGCTTGATGTTCTTCCAGGTGATCAGATAGGAATGGTTAGTGATCATCGTACTACATGTTATTTAGAGGTGAGAAGCACTTCACTTGTTGTGACACAATGCAAAGCAGTTGGCTGGTTGTAAAAAAGAAAGCAAAGCAGCACAAAAACAAAGCAAATAGTATTATGGGGTTTCAAATTCTTGGAAGGTACTTGGAACCGATCGAGTAGTCATGAGTTCAGTGAGGTTTAGAAACTATGGGTTGGTATAGTAGTTCGGTAACGTTTCGCTCCTGACACAAATGCTTCGTCAGACCGGGTGAATCAGTGTGCAATTGGAGTGGGCTTTTATGGTGCACAGGGGCGATAATCGCGTTACCCGAGACTTGAGCCAATAAGTCATTACAGTCACAGTTCGTGATGTCACCTCAGATGGTTCACTCACAGTGGAAATAGTCCAAGTGTTCCTTTGTGCGTCATGGCATTGACGGACAAGCCCATTGATAATGGAAGTCGGTTGGCACTTTCCAATCTGATCCACACACTTATGCTCGTCAGACTGGCCGGCTTAAGATTGTTTGCCACGCACTAGAGAGTTCTACTCCCTCCATTCTATTCACGCAGTTGTCAAATTTGGTACTTTCCACCGCCTCGGTAATCAATCACTGAGACATTGATCGTATACTCCTTCTACTGACCTCTAAGTTAACCAGATCTATCTGGTGACCCGTATCTAATGCATGCACAGCCACGGCCGAGTCTCTTATTATTGCATGGTATCCAAACTCGTTTCTTGATGGTCTTGAAATGCGCCTCCTGAGTTCTGAAATTCGTGTGCGTAATTCCCTCGCTGTTTGGCCTTTGTACACATGTGTACAGTCCTTACATTTAATTTATAAACGCAGTTAGTCGTCCTATCCTTGGAAAGCGGGTCCTTCAGGTGTACCAGCGCTGAAGGTAGCGTTTGACCTCGCTGAAAGATCATGCTTATATTTGCACTGTTTAGCACCCTCCGAAGTCTCTGGTAACGCGGTTTATCGCCCCTGTTCGCTATAAAATCCCACTCCAATTGCACACTGATTCACCCGGTCTGACCAAGCTCTTGTGTCAAGAACGACACGTTACCAAACTACCATACCAACCGATTGTTTCCAAACCTCTCTGAACTCTATGCTTTGCAATAGGTCGAAATAACAACAGGCTCAGGTTCGGTGTTGAGATGTCTTGTTTATTGTTGGGTTTTCGAAGTAACCATCATGTGTCTGGATTGCGGCGCTCAGTCTCAGTTAGAGTCACGGTTTCACTTTGAAGTAGACCTCTACCGCACGGGTGCGGCAGAGGTGCTGCTCTCTTCATCACTGTGCTTTGTTTTTTTGTTATGTGTCGTGAATGAGATCGTGGTCGGAGAGGGAGGTTAAGTGGGAGGGGGGAATAATGGAACGCTACACAAACATCACCCGTCAACCACGGTTCTCAAGCACATAGGTTCATTGTTTTTGGGATCCCAAACAAGGAGTCGGTAGGCACCAATCGAGACTAAGTGAGGGTCTTATTTCTTCTGACTAAGCCATCGGCTGGCATCATTTCATCTGTTTCCATATTCGGATACACATACCGAAACCGCGATTCGCCCTGATAGGGACATTACTATTCAACGCTCACATTCAGCCGTGGGTTAATTCGCCGAGATAGTCTAACGACTGAGGCCGGGAAAGTGATTGATACGCAGGCGTTCACGAAAGCTTGATCAAATTCCACGTAGATACTGTAGATCGACTAACTTTCTCGAATTGATGTGCGTAAATTATAGTTTGTGCAAAATTAACCAACTTAGGTCCAGAGTATCGTTTCGGCCTTTGGTCATTGAAGAATGTGAAATGGTCCAGGCTCGGGCAGGTGTTACGCATGCCAGCCTACCGATTCCCGCGATGTGCGTTATTTGCGCGCCGAGGGTGTGGATGGAAGAAGAGGAGGGGTGGCGATGACTTGATCGAGAGGAATGAAGGCCCTCACTTCTGAGCTGGCATCGGTTGGAGCGTCTCGGCTCCCTGGTTGGGGTCCGAAAGACGTTGAACACGTTTGGCTGGATACACTGGTTGATATGGCTAGGAGCCGACCTCAGTGGCGTTCGTGCTGTGAGTTTCTTTGTTCCACCCCATCCCTCTTAGTCTCCCCCTCGAACCACGATCTCGCTATTTAGACTTATATAATTTTAGAGAGTGATTTTTTTGCTGCATAGTAGCCGGCTGATAGCTTACTGGAACGATGCCCATCCGTTAACGGTAGCTCAGCCGGCTTGCATCATTTGCATTTTTTCTCCTTTTTTCTATATATTGCGGCACAGTAGCTGAGGTGTTGCCCACATCTAGCTAACGTGTATGATGATGATGGTCCAGGTTGCCGTTAGCACAACTAGTGTGACATCTTTTCTTGGCTATTTTCGCTGTACTTACTTCGCCCCCAGCCGACTGGAACAAACTCTTCTTTCCGTACCTATCCGAGAAGGTTGGTCAATGCTTTGCGAAGAATCTTACAGTCATCGTTAAATGGCGAGGGCGCGAGTGAGTTTTGGCAAGTTTCGGGAAAACAACTGGATGATGTGATAGCACTTTTACCCACAATTTAGTTGTAAACTAAGTTAACTGGCCATAATTCAATTTTCGCATCTGAGCAAGGAGTGGTTCAAGGCCTTTTGTAGTGTTCCTGAGAGGGTTACACTTAATGGACAAGGAGACATTACTTGTTGCATATAGATGCGCACAGACTGATGCTGACTGCCTTACTGATGAGTGCTCTCCTGGAATTACTGATGCAGATCAGCTAGAGAACTCTGAGAAAGTTGACCGTCGCCCCAGGCTGCTTCGTTTTTAGCTATCCTTACCAGATCATAAGTCTCATTTTACCTCATGCCCGATAGGCCGGCTGGCCAGTCTTGCTGCCCCAAATACCGCATGAATTTCTATTCCGGACCCCAGCGTTTTCATAAACCCGTAGGTTATCCATTGTCCGGTGCACTGACAACGTAGTGCCGCGAGTAGACGCCCACGAACAGCAGCTGAGCTCATTCCCTAAAGGCTGGATGTCATCGTAAGTAATTTCAGAAAGACTTGCGGATAGTATCCTAGTTGGCTTGCTCAACCGAGGGCTGATCCGGGCACTAATCGAGATCATCGCATGCTTCGTTTCCCGACCGAGTTGAATGAAAATCAGTAACCCCATCGACCAACATTAGAGTGGACGCGGGTGTTTCACAACGAGCAGAAGTCAGGGATGAAATCACACTATCCGAAGCCCATGGTGGTGTAGTCTATATGGGCCGGAGAAGTTCAACCGGAACATCGGCGTCCAATGTAGCTGAGGGCGTTACTAAGTATTAGCAGCAGTTGATCATCGCTCACCCTCCAATCTCATATATATATATATATATATATATATATATATATATATAAACGGATAGACATGAAGCTGTCAAAAACATTGGGAGGTCCAGTTATCTTTAAAAGATAGCCGAACGCAACACGGAGCAGGCCATAGTTTTGTCAGAGGGCGCGATACTATCCAGTTGACCAAGCCGAGGTAGGGTGCTCCTTTAGGATCCACCACAACGAGTCTTTCGCTAAATAACCTACCTGCAAGGCAGTGAAGGAACTTTAGAGAATTGCGCCCATTGGAAACCCCGTGACCGATAACTCAGTTCATACGCATTCTATTTGGTCAGTTGCCAGTCAGGGGTCCAGTCCTCCCCATGACGTCAGCAGCGGGCTACTGGAATACAACAGTCTACTGGAGTGAATCAATGGGGCGGTGGCTTTATTTAGTGGCGTGGCACACCCGTCACGTCGCAGTGTTGTTAAGTGGACATTTGTGGCTTTTTATGGCTCGCACGCCTGGCTTGCAATAATGTCCCCGGTTCGAATCTGCGTAGGGACGGGCGTTCTCGTGGTATACTCAGCCCACGCGTGCCTGGTGGTGGTCGCGCGGCAACGAAACGCTTTTAAGGCGTGCAGCTGACACATTATTATTATTATTATTATTATTATTATTATTATTATTATGGGGAGAATGCATGTCAGACGAAAACTAACCACCACCTGAAACACTTCCGTTGAATGGGTTAATTCCGAACTACTTAGCTGATACCACGAGATCGTTCGGTAATCCAGCCAGAGCTATATCCGAATCAGCGAAGCAGCTTGTTAAGTTCGTGAGGTGTGTCTGGCTACTTTAGTCCTTCAATCGATTGGGCATTGGTGGGAGCCGGAGAGAAACATTATCTACCGCTGTTGCTTGGTTTAGGTCTCCTTTTTATCATACGGTCTGTTTAGTGGTGAACTTTAGTTGCTGTTTAATTCATGTCTTCGATAGTATGTGTTGTTTTCTGGGATGTGCGAAGAAACATAATGTGCAATCGATTTCGGTTTTTTCCTTGAGTAATTTTTGCGGAAACCAATGTTTAAAGCCAGTTTCAGGCTTATCAGTCCAAGAAAATCTGGCACCCACTTTAGCTCATCTGTTGATGCTACCTTTCGCTTTCTTTCTGTGCGACAGGCTCTCTACTGATACTGATTTGACTTCTGCCATGGCTTCCAGAACTGCCAAAATTCAGCGCTACAAGGAGAGGAAGGTGCTCGAAGAGAGACTTGCCTCTCTCGCTGATTCCGTAGATCAACCACATGTTGACGAAGACGTCAAGGTGCGCAATCCCCAGAGTTGTGAAGCCGTCTGACTTTCCGGACCATGTCGATGCATCGCTAAGCACTTGGCGCGTTTTCCCAGTTTTCCTTTCATAGCCACATCTCAGTTTTCTGTGCGCATTCATTTTCCTCAGTCTTCTTAAATTGATCTGATTTCACCATCCTTTTGCATGAATTGATGCTTTAGGTTGTGTCTATGACCATCTAAAACATTTGCTGTGGGTGTTACTACCTCCGTTCGAAACCTTTTTGAATCTATTACTTATAAAACGGGTTCAATGTTAACAAATACTCCCAAATATTCAAGTTTTAATGACAAATAAACATGGTTCCTTGAAAACATAAATTATGCACTTAGTCCTCACCTGCAGTTGGTGCAGGTGACTGCAACATTAGGTGACATTTTCGTAAGCATTTGAAAGTGTACGCATGTATATCGATATTAAAAAGCATACAGTTAGTTCACAAATCTGATTTTGCTTCACCTCCACTTAAATCACACTATGCTCAGAAGTTCGCGAAATCGGCAAGATCAATTTCATGCAGTAATTGGTCATGTGATGACTCACGACGGCCTAATCCGAACGAAGAGTGAGCCAATGGACGTTCCATCTCGCGGCGCTGCGTTACAGGCTTGTATTCGTACTTTAAGTAATAGCATCTATTACCTGTAACGGTCTTATTCACTACGCAATCACTAATGATCTGCCACTAATGACTAAGAAGGGATTAGGTTGTTAGTTGGATGATTTGATACAGTTGATTTTGTTTACTGACTGAACAATGACCCAGTCCTAGTACTTGTCTTTCCCCCCCATAAAATCCCGTATTACACCTTTGGAGGCAAGTACCCACATGTTGGGAATTGCAAAATCTTGCAATTTTGTAGTCCACTGGGAACTCATGTTTTCCAAAGGTTCGGAAGCAGTCGTTTGATACTTTTGTCGGGCAACGTTTTACTTTGACACAAATGCCATCTGGATCAATGTCTGGTCATTATAACACGACCAGTTTCGGTGAATGTCGAGATTTCAGCAATGGACCTTCCAATCATGTTTCTTCTTGGCATAGCTCATTTTTAAGTACTCGCAAGAGAAGAATCGCACACACTTAGACCAGTTCCCCCTGTAACTCCTGCTTTCTCACGTCGACTACCAGTAATGGAGGTACCGTCTGTTTAATGCGACTGTTATCTAACCAACATTTTCGGCCAATCCCTGAAAGTATTTCGTCTAAGTTTGTGAGTCCTAATCTGATGGTCGTGAGTCTGTGACAGCAAGACTGGACCATAACGTGGTGCGACGGTTTGCGTAACTCTGATCCATTGAGCTGTACCTGGTAGTGCCCCCGGGACCTTTGAGAGTTGCTCCTGCCAGCTTGGACAATAGTTAAAGGTCAGACAAGCTCAGTCTTCTGGTCCTGTAGGTCAAGGGTTGGGAACTGGATGGCGTCCATTTCTGTACAACTCAATCATTGCCACTTCCCCTCTGCCTTGTGAGCAGGCTTAACAGCCAAAGCTTTGGTTAAGGACCCTAGTCATTCTCCTGTCTATATCTGGGCATTCTGGCAGTATCTTAGCCCACATACAACCATTACTATTTCCTCAAACGTTAATTAAATCCTGCATCGGTTTTTGCCCTGGTTATCAAGGGTTGCCTTATCTGCTGCATACAGCAGAGCGGATAAGCGAACACATGCCACTAACCTTCCTTCCATATTTCCCAGCTTAATTGACAGCAGTCGTAATGCTACTGGAGTCGAACTATCTGCAGCTACCTTCCCGCACCACACACTTGACGCCCATCGGCAACAGTCGCTTATAAGGCCGCACTGTCCCGTTTCTCTGGCGGCGTTCAACGTTCGCATTTTAAAACAATTAGATCAACGGACTGCACTCGCACGCACCTTGGACCCTCGCAATGAGGCTGGACTTTACCGTGGTGCGATGGTCTGCGTGCCTCAGTTATCCATTGAGCTATACTGGGTGGTGCTTTTTTGCACCTTCAGAGCCACTCATACCAGATTGGTCAATGGTTAGAGGCCAGACAAACTTAGCATCCTGGTCCTCCAGGTTGGGGGTTGGAATGAGCGTGGCACTTTATTCCTTAAAACGGGCTCCTTGTAGCCCAACGCCAAACCCGCTGCCTTGCGGTAAGGTTTTTGAACCAAAGGCTTTGGTTGAGAACCCTAATCGTTCTCCTGTCTAGGCCTGGGCAACCTGACAGTATCCTGCCTACGCAGTACAATGAATTTCTCTTCAAACAGTTCCTTGATGCTCTGGCCACCGCTGAGGATAATCAACGGTGCCCTATCTGCTGCATCGAGCAGGGTGGATAGGGGTTTGGATGCTACTGCTCAAACCTTCCCATCTTCTTAATCCCCCTCTTATGCTTTTTCACCCTTATCGTCCCGTTCCAACATCATTTTTATCCCAGTCTTCAACCCCCCAATTCTTGGCCATCCTCCACCTCGCTTCAATAGTCGCTTGTCTTCTAGGTTCAACTCACATGTGAACACGGAGCGTCATTTCTGCCCTATCGACAGGCCCATGTCCAACCAAGCGGCCAAGCCCAGTTCATCGGCTTCCATTTGGAGCCGTCGATCCTCCTTCAGATTGGCATGCCTCAGTGTTCGCACATTGCTTCAGATCGGTCAACGGGCAGCACTTGCCCGAACATTGGAGACCCTCTCGATCGATATCATCTTCTTATCGGAGACTCGCCTGCAAGACTCTAGCTCTGTGCTCACTATGCGATCGCCTTCAGGTGACGCTAGCAGCACGTTCTCATTGCGCCTATCTAGTGACGATGCAGCTTCGAGTACCGGCCAGGCCGGTATTGGTATTGCCCTGAGTCCCCAGGCTGAAGCTACTCTGGCTGATTGGATCCCAATGACTAGCCGGATGTGTGCATTCCGATTGACTGGCTCGTTCAGAGCTTCGAAGCCGCACGGGATTAACGTGTCCATTTGTTATTGCTGCCTATGCACCCACAAACTCTAGCGATGACTCGATAAAAAACGACTTCTGTCGTCAACTGAACGAGCTCCTTCGCCACAGAAGAAGCACGGACACTTTGTGCTGGCTGGGGATCTGAAGGCTCAACTTGGAAAATTATCCACGGGTGAACCGCATCTGGGCGGTCAACACAGTGTAGTCTCCCGTAATCATAACGGTGAGCGGTTACTTCATTTGTGTGAAGATGCCAGCTTATTTCTTGCGAGCACTATTTCAGACACAGCACCCGCTGGACGGTGACTTGGAGCCCATCAGCCTCGAACCAGCCTTGGACCCAAATCGAACACATTGCGATAAGTTACCGATGGAGACGCTGCGTCCAGAACTCGCTCGATTTGGAGCACAGGTGTAAACACCGATCATGCACTTGTATGTGCTGACCTGCGGATGCGTTTTGGCGGACGCCCACGACGACGTGAGCGCATTGACACCAGCCAACTGGCGAAGCCAGCTGTTCTGATGCCTATTAAAGTACACTGTCATGCGAGTTGGATAAACGCTCACTGGACGCAATTGAAGGTCACTGGTCTCATATTCACCAGACCTTACTTGCAGCAGGAAAATCCTCATGTGGTATGTCTAATTGCCAACATGGGCATTGGGTCTCTTCACAGTCTCTGGAACTTATAGATGCTCGCCGGCATATTCCGGCTGGAAGCGAACACAATGAAACTCGTAAAGAGCTCCAGGCAAAACTCCGTGCTAGCCTGAAGAGAGACCGCGAATCCTGGTGATTTCATCGTGCATCAGAGATGGAAATGGGCACTGCCCTTGGTAATCATCCGGCTGCTACGGGAAACGGGCAGCAGGAGACCTGGTGTTAGTGAAACTATACATTACGAGAGTGGACAGCCTATCCACAATATGTCAAAACGTTTGGAGCGTTGGGCTGGATACCATGAAAGGCAATTTCGTCGATCGGAATTGTTATATTTCTCGCCGGCCACTGATCACCCCACTCCCTGGGCTGTCCCTTTGGATCCACCCTCTCGCTCAAAAGTCGAACGTGAGATCGGACTGTTGAAGTTGAATAAAGCCGCAGGACCAGATGATCTTCCTCCAGCCCTCTTCAAATTCGGGGGACCTGATCCTGTGAATAATTTATACGAGTTACTAGTGAAACTGTGGGAGCACTAAACTGTCCCAACCGATTGGAGCCGCTCCGTCATAGTCCCAATTTTCAAAGGAGGCTCACGATCGGAATGCGGCAACCATAGAGGAATCAGTCTGATCTCCATCGCCTTCCAATTGTTTGCATCTGTCATCCTTCACAGACTGACTGACTCGTGAAAGCCATATTCCTGAAGAGCAAGCTGGATTTCGTCGAGGTTGTGGCTGCATTGACCACATCTTCACTTTGCGTCAGTTGTTGGAGCACCGTCACATATATTGGCGGTCCACCGTTGTCATGTTCCTCGATATCAAAGTTGCATTCGACTCAGTGGATAGACATGCACTTTGGGACTGTCTACTCAGGAAAGGTGTACCTGAGAAATATGTGAACATTATCCGAGCACTGTACGCGCGTAGCTCAGGCAGAGTGAGGACTTTCGGCAAGTTGTCATCGCCCTTTAATATCTCCAGCGGTGTGAGACAAGGATGTCCGCTGTCACCGTTCCTTTTCATCTTCGATATTGATGAAGTTTTGGAAATCGCGTCCACAGGACATGACTTAGAAGGTGTGGATCTGCTCCCTGGAGAACGACTTCTTGACCTGTAGTATGCTGATGACAGTGCTCTAATCTGTGACAGCTCCCAGACGTGCCAAGTGGCACTGGACAGAGTAGCACTGGTTGTCCGTCACTTCGAGATTTGCTTCGCACCATCGAAGTGCGAAGCGTTTCTTCAGCATTGGCAGGGGTCGCCTCCTTCGCTGACCCTTGGTGGGGATCAGCTGGAAGTCGTTCAAAAATTTAACTACCTGGGAAGTCGTATCAGCGCCCTTGATATTGAAGATGAGATCACGAGCCGTATAGCAAAAGCTCGAGGCGCTTTTGCTAACCTTCGCCACTTGTGGCGGCGGCGCGACATCACTCTCGCCCTGAAGTGTAGAATGTACAATGCAGCAGTACGTTCGACTCTACTGTACGGTTATGAAACCTGGCCCCTTAGGTCAAGGGACATAAAGAGGCTAGTTACGTTCGACCACCGGTGCCTTCACAATTTAGCTGACATCTGGTGGGAAAACCGAATAAGCAACGAGCGTGTTCGACGCCTTGTTTTCGGCACATAAAAAGGAAATGAACCGCTCAGTACCGTCATTTCACGCACCAGGCTCCGATTGCTGGGCCACGTGTTACACATGCCAGTCCACCGACTCTTATTGAAACGACTTCTGGGGGATGAAGGCTAAAGACATTTTGATGCCCTCCATGTCGATGAGAAGGAGACACTCAACAGCGCGCCAGAAGTCCTCAGTGGGTTATGGGGTTCACGAGTGAACACCTACACTGTGCGGTATTCTTTCTCGACCTTGCTTCAAAACCCCGAAGAAAGTGTCATTGATTTCATTGCGCGGATTCAGCAAGCTATACCAGAGTGTCGGTATAGTGAAATCCCAGTTACGAAGTTCGAAGATGCGATGGTTTTACAATGCTTGATATCCGGTATCCGTAACGAGCAGGTTCGTAAAAGGTTGTTTTCGGAAGATGAGACGACGATGAGCTGGGAGAAGGCCTGCAATATTGTTCGGCAAATGGAGAATGTCCATAAACAGTTAGCAGCTTTTTCCTCGCAACCTTTTACAGACACAATCCAAGCAGTCGGCGGATAAGGAGTTACCCCGAGACGGTCCGAATTGCCTTTTACCTGTTACCGATGTGCAAATCAGCATTTATCAACCGAGGAATGTCGTCATAAACGGAGTATCTGCTCCCAGTGTGGAAAATTATGGCATTTGGCCCGAATTTACCGATCTAAAGTTTGCACTTCCGCGGCATCACGTTTACCCAAGAAGCCCGTTAAGGTCGTCCAGTCTTCAGACGAAGAAGACCAGCTAAACACGATCTGGAACGCAACGTCGGGCTTCTGCAGCATTCACCCACCTTACACTGTGCAATTGGAAATAGAAAGCCAGTTGGTTAAAATGGGTTGATACCGGTGCTTTAGTTATCATAATCAGTGCTGCATCAGTTAACAGATTACCCAGGTTATCCCCCTGTGAATCAACTTTGCATACGCACACTGGGCAGCCAATACCAGTACTGGCAAAATGCACTTTTCATGTAAATTATCGTGGGGAGAAGCGAACCTTACAGGCATATGTTGGGGCGAATGATTGTCCAAACTTACTTGGGCACGACTGGATTAAATGCCTTCCGGCCACGCTAGAGACAGTGAAGTTCATGTCCACTAACCAGCGCTTGGAGGAAGTGCTCAACAAATATTCTAACGTTTTTGATGAGAAACTAGGATAATTGCACTTATCTTGACGATATTCTAAGCACAGGACGTACAGATGCTGGACATTTGCAAACGCTATCCACTGTGGTCGAACGTCTACAACAGAGTGGATTCAAACTGAAGGAGTCCAAGAGTACGTTTTTCTCAGTTTCTGTTTGTTACGTTGGTTACCGTCTCGATAAAAACGGATTTCACATGTTAGAAGATAGAGTAAAGCCCTCCTTGTCGCACCTGAACCCAAGAATGAAGCTGAACTTGTACGAACTGTTGCACAAGGGGAAGTCCTGGACTTGGGGTCCGGATCAAAGAAACGCCTTCACCAGATGCATAAAGGGGGCTCAGCGCCTCCCCGTATCTCGTACATTTCGATCCGAGCCGGCCTCTAATGCTGCAGTGCGATGCTTTCCCACGCGGAGTAGGCGCAGTCCTTTATCACTGGATGGTTCTCTTCGTCCAATCGCTTTTGCTTCTCGTACCCTGCAACCCGCTGAAAGGAATTACTCCCAACTTGACAGAGAAACCTTAGCGATTATTTTCGGAGTCAAGCATTTCCACCAATACGTCTGGGGAAGAGAGTTTGATTTCCACACCGACCATAAACCACTTCTTTCGCTTCTGGGTGAAGAGAAAGGAATCCAACAGAGGTGTTCGCCTCGAATGCAAAGGTGGGTACTACTTTTGAGCGCCTATAACTACAAACTTCAGTATGTAAACGGACCAAGTAATACCATTGCCGATGCACTTAGTCGCCTCCCACAGCAGCATGGCACAAAAACGAATAGTGAACCAATGGAATTTATCAATTTGATGCAACACCTTGAAAAGACACCCATCCAGAGGGATTTGGTGCGGCGCCTGACGGACCGGGACCCTATGTTGTCGATGATGACACGGTTCCTGATGACCGGATAGCCTACAAGCACGTCAGACGAACTGAAACCATTCGCTTGTCGGAGTAATGAGTTGTGTCTATACGACGGCTGTATATTTCATAGCTCGCGCATACTTCCACCAGAAGAACTACGACCCCAGTTGCTGAGAGGGCTGCATGACGCACACCCCGGCATGAATAGGATGAAGGCGCTGGCACGTGGTTACTGTTGGTGGCCGAACATTGACCAGGATATAGAGCGGCTACTGAAACACTGCGAACAATGTCAGAAATACCAAAGGCAAAAATCTCCCTGACCGATACGTCCATGGCCTTGGCCGGAGAAGCCCTGGCAGCGGGTACCCGCGGACTACTTTGGTCCAATCAATGGGTTTGTGTGTCTACTTCTGATTGATGCCCATTCTAAATGGATAGAAGTACCTCCAGTTACACAAGCGACTTCCTCAGAAATAGTTGCAAAAATGCGCTCCATATTCGCCATTTTCGGTATCCCAGAGACGGTATGCACCGACAACGTAATCCCAGTTACCAGTGAAGAGTTTCAACAGTTCCTGTGTAACAACGGAATACAACACATTAGGTCTGCGCCATAGCATTCCGCGTCGAATAGAATGTCTGAATGTGCAGTCCAGACTGTTAAGCCAGGTCTTCTCAAGCAGACTCATGGAACTCTACCAACTAAGATGGATCGTCTCCTGTTCTCTTACAGCAGGACACCGACTGAGTCGACAGGGAAGTCACCCGCGGAATTAATGTTTGGTTGGCCACTACGTACGAGTCTGCGCCCACTTGTTCCGAACCCTCGAAGGAGAATGGAGGAAAAGGAGGAGAAAATGTTTGTGTATGAAAAGATGCCAGAGGAAATGTGTCTTAATGATTTTGATCTGGTATACACAAGACTGCCTCACGAAACAAGCTGGCAACCTGTTACACTCATGTCCTCCACGAGTAAGCAAGAGAAGCTGGAGGACGTCCGTATGATGCGTCGCCATTTTGATCATATCCGGTGACGCTCAAACGGAACACAGGAGCGGGATCAAAAAGCGACTGCTACTGACCCAATAACGGACGGAGAATCTGCTTCACAAAACCAGGGACGACAAACGGATGCGGTACACCCAGAATTAAGACGCTCAATGCGCACACCTAAGCCAGTTGATCGGTATCAATATGGTGTCTGTAGTCTTGACCAGGGAAGAGAGGGGTGTCACGTACGCACTTGCGTATCGATTCGTAAACACACGTCCTCACATGATTAGTTGAAAATGACCTTGCCTTACTTCCCTTTTTTCCTTGGTTTTCCTTTCCGGCTTTTCTAACCACTGTAACGCAGGATGCTTTTAGTAAATCGGTTCCATACTACGCGTGCGCTTTCCGTCCCCTTCATCGGCTAAGGGCCATACTTAACAATGCGGATCCTTTTCCTTACAGCTACCACACATTGAGATTTCGGCCAACATTCCAATGCTCCCCCGTTCGATGCCTGCTATCTCCATCTGATGAGATCAAACGAGATTGAAATGCATTGTGGAGGGCATCTTTTCAGACGGGCAGCTCCCAATTTTCATCTGCTTTAGTTATGGTCCCAGTGATCGCATTGACCAAGGTTCACTTCATTGCGAATCGCGATCCACTTTGAGATTTTGCATCGCAACGAGTACTTCAAAATGACCCACCAGTTAGTCATTAACCGTTGTGGGAGACGTTGACCGTCGTGACTCGGTGGTTAAATGGCTAAAGGTTTCGACTGATCCCAGTCTCATGAGATCAAATACGTTCGAGACACGTCATGGTGTGCAGTGTTTTCTGGCGGGCAACTCCCACCTTAGGTCATTGTGGTTGTACGGCAGCGTGGTATCGGTTCAACATACTGATGTACTCTGTTATCGTGATGACCTGTCTCACTTTGTTTGTTGTTCACTCGATGATCTAGGAATCTGGCTTATGATCAGCTGATTGCCGACTCGATCTTGTCTAGATGCCGGTGACCTTTCATTATTTCTAACTCGTATTCGACGGCTGGCGGTAGCGTGGCATCGAAGCGTCGATATGATTGCTAAAAGAGCTTATTGCTGTCACCCACCTTTGACTGCCATCGGTCCACAGCGAATATCATCCAGGTCGGATAACGCACGCATTTGGGAGAGCAACGAGCCCCTAAGATTGATGTGTTATCTTTTTCTTTTCTACCATGCATCTTTCCGTTTTGTTTTGCACAGTGTCCATCGAATTGCATGAGAGTGGTCACATCCTCTTCCCGTTTTTATCGTATTCGGTTACCTTTTTGAGCGTGCACGATTGATTCTTTCTGTTCACGGAGTATCAGTCAAAATAGGTACTGTCAATGTTTAATGCCTGTTTTCTTTTTCTGTTACTTTTTCCGTAATTCAGCGGGAATACAATCTTTTGTTCGTCCGCCACTGGGCTTCTTTGGCAGAGGATCAGCTACAAACTCTGGTGCAAGAAGAGCGGTTGTTGTCGGTTGGTCCAGAACAGCTGGAAGAGACGAGAAAATCACCACCCCCTAGCTCTTTGAGGCCGTTCATCCTAACCCGCAGCGCAATGCAAGCTGCAGTGTTCGGTGCAGGTTATCCCAGTGTACCTACAATGACCGTGGACGCATTTTATGATTACCAAGTATGGGGACTGAACTAATCTAATGAACTGTTACCCATTTCTTTTTCATGAACTCGATTTGATTATTTTTATTAGAATCGATTATGGATAGCTTAACATTTTTATACGACTAGCAAGCCAAACGCAGCCAATTTATTGCCGAGGTTGACCTGCTTCGTTGTCGACACTCCGCCATTTGTCACCAGGAACCAGTTGCAGTACTTCAAACAGTCAAAATGAACGGTATCCCGGACTTGCCCACGATCCTCAAGGTTTTTGTTCTTGCTTTCGACATAAAGCTGCCTGGGAAATTACGTATTTTCAAAGGCTGCTTCAATATCAAACTAGATGCTCAACCGAAATTTTACAAAGCACGCATTTTGTCTTTCGCAATCCGTTCGTAGGTTGATCTGGCGTTGTATCGCCTACAAAAAGACTGAATAATGTCGTTTGTACGCATCTCTTTCCGGGCTCCACCCATCACTCCCAGTCAGTTCGCATTTGCGCCGACTACCGGTTGACGGTTACTTAGGCGACGATGGCGTAACACTATCTGATTCTAAGAATAGATGGGCTTTACGCAACCTTGTTTGGTTGACAAAAGGTTTCCGAACTTTACCTAAGCTACGCCTGTTCTCAAGTAGAACCTTAGGAATCCACTAGGGAACTTACAACGATTAATGCACACATGGGATTCTACAACCTATAGCCTTTTGGGATGCACTCTGTGCCGGCAATCTTTTAGAGGATTATACACAACTTAGTAATGTCCTTACTCATGGTTAATGGTCTTACCGACTACGAACACATGAAAGCACTTACGCCAGTTCTGAGACACTTTCACGAGAGTGGGCTTTAACTCAAGTGTGTTTTTGCGACACCATCGAGTTTCTATGCTTTTACTTCAATAAACACGGGTTGCATGCGCTACGGGAAGCTTTCGACCCATTTTAGATTCTCTAGAAGACCAACATATTAACTAGCTAAAATCATTTCTTAGGATGGTAGTCCACCTCGGTCGTTTTTAACCCTACTTGCCGCCCATTCTCGCGGTATTGTATACTTTATTTCTGAAGAATACCAGTTGGCCATGGTCAACGGAACAACAAAAATATTATGATTGTTAGGTTGAGCATAAGTAACGCTGATTTGTTAACGCACTTTGACTTTGATCACTCTCTGGTGTGACGATTCACCCGCAGTTCTTCGTGGTGCAGTCTCACAAAGTGGACATGATCGATTGACCCTAAGCTTTTGCGGCTATCTTTTGAGTCAAGAACTTCCACCAGTATCTGTGGGGAAAATGTTCGAATTTTTTATGGACCACAAACTTTAATTAGTTCGAAGAAAGGCACCAACCTGCTAGTGTCCCCTCACATGCAACGTTTGGCTTTATTATTCTCTGCTTACAATTACATAACCTCATTTCTTCCTTGGAAAGCAACTAGATTCGCGGACGCTCTGAGTCGTTTGCCGTTAAATCACCTACCAGATTGCATACCGAAACCTGTGGAACTTGTCCACGTGCTACAACATTTTCTGCCGAAATCCGATGTTAAACGCAGATGTTCGTCAGTAAACCGAACAGGACATATTCGTAAAAGTCGAGCGTATAGTCTCTCAAGGATGGTTCGCCCAATGTGATCCGCAACTACCATTTTACTTTACTTGACACACAGAGGTTAATCTCGATGATTGCTATTTGCTCTGGGGATCCAGAGAGATCATACCACTTTGGTTTGCGTCAGCATATCTTACAGTGGCTACACAAAATGCGAGGTTGAAGGGTCTCGCGCGATCTTATGTGTGGTGGCCTCATATTGGCAGATATCGGGGAGCTAATTCAATACTGCGACGCGTGTCAAAACACACAGACCAATCCCTCTCTGGTACCACACAGTCCAGGGGAATGGTCTAGCAAAAGATGGGAGCGCATACATGCAGACTTCTTTGACCTACTCGGTGGAAGAACATTTCTTCTCGAAATGGGTCGAGATTTTCTTGGTAACGCATATCACCTCTGTGATGACAGTTTCCTGCGTACATACGTGTTTCATACTCTCGTTTGTTACTTGCGTGTTCCAAACTTATCAGTCAAGTTCGTCGAAAACAACCGTATAATTCATATGAAATCAGCCCCTTGCCAGCCAGCTTCAAACGAAACGGTTGAAGGAGCAGTCTAGACGGTCAAGAACTGCTTATGGAAAAAGCGCTCGCTTTGCTGTGGGCAAGGCTGGACAAATTCCTTTTTGGATTCCCCACCATGCCAAACGAAACTGCTGGGGAGATCCCCAATGAGTTGATGTTCTGAGGGAGGGGTTGGACTCGTTTGGATTTCGTGTTTTCTGACCAGAAGCTGCGATCGACAGCCTAACTAAACAATCTGGAGGGCTAGGTGAAGTTGTTGGACTACATACGGAGGTAGTTATTTAACACAAGGATCACTTCCGTCGTCGTTCCTTTTCAATTCCTCTAGATGACTCATCCCCAGCCCTCAATCCGCCTACTGAGTTGGCTGACGTACGGGACACGTAAAATCCCGGACAACAGTAGGCTCAACCATATCGCCGCTCATGTCGGCTACGCTGATCGATACTGTGCTGGCTGGAGTTAGACCAACTAAATGGAAAACGAATGTGGCATTCTTGTGGCCACCGCTGCTATGCGTTTCCCATTGGCTGTATACATTTACTAGCCCAACCACCTATCGATTAGTCTCATGTACTAAAATGTGTGATCGATGCGTTGTACGAAATCTCGGTTAGAATATATTTTGCGTTCCGTTTAGCTGACGCGTTTTGCTTTGCGCTATTTCGACCACGAATAAATTGCTGAGCGTTAGTTCTACACTTGCTGGACTATGACACCCTAGTGTTGCCTCACATTCTATAGAATTTTGGAGGCTGCTCCCCATTCCGATCTCAACAGCTACGGATGGAATTGCAGTAGGGCACCTACGGACGTTTTACCATGTGGATGCGTATCCCTCTAGCTCAATCGCATGGAGACACGTTCTGTTAAGCGCCCTCTTCGTTTCAGCGTCTTGTCTCGGTAACTAGTCGCAACAGATTAAAAAAGGAAGCTTTGAATATCATCTTTACAGCTAACTGTCCACAAACCCTTAGTGGCCATCTTTGGTTCCAAAAGGAATACCAGTGTACACAACTAACCGCCTGCACCATTGGACACTCACACTGTTGGCCTATGATTTCTATATACGTTATCAGTGAACTACGAGCAGTGGTCAGGTAGATACTTTATCTCGATGCATAAGAGAAAAAGGCATCAGCAGTACGTCGGTACGCAGTACCAACGCTTCGCTGTAGCGCAACCACAACCAATCGCGCGTAGGCTAAGGATATTGCGAGGGTCGCCCGGTCCCCCTACGAAAGCTCGAACCCGCGCCCTCAGATTACAAGGCAGGCTTGTGATCCTGAAGGCCACGGCCGGTCGATTCATAAGTTCCTACAAATAGCTGCAGGAGCTGGACTAGATATTAAATTCCTTACAAATGATTTACACACTACTCTGCACGACTTTTTACTAACTGCAGTTGCGCAGTACCGTTGAGTGCACCCACCATCAAACGGCTAGGCTGAACGCTTCGTGGACACGTTTAAATGTTTTCCTAAAATCAGCGGAAGACGCAGGAGATCATTTAGATTCTTATTTTTATGTCAGGTCACACCAAACCCACAAACGCGTGATGGGATTTCCTCAACAGAAGCTAGGATAAATCATAGACTAGGAACAATTTTTGCCATTCTTCGATCATCACTAAAAGCCCCGACTAAGGAACAAATGCACAATGGGGCAGAGGATATCGTGGGGCAAAGCCACATGAGTTCACACACGATTACTTAGTCATCGCATTTGACCATAGTCAAATTAAATAACAGAAACAATCATTGGCAAGCGAGGCGAAGTCATTTAGGGGGGGGGGGTGAAAATCAAGTAAAATCATGTATTCGTCATATGAATCAGTTATGGTCAACGTCGTGCATACCCGAAGAACAAATATCGTACAGCCTACTTTTTGGTAAACTAATTGGCATTTCCAAGCTGCCGGGGTCAATGAACTATGCAGGGACACCATAACTGCTGACAGAGATATTCTAACCAAGGCACCATGCAGACTATGTTCGAAAACCACAGCACATTTGCAAATTAATTCCCGGAAACGCTCCTCCGACTGGTATCTTCAAGGAAGGGGATGTTAAGTCTAGAACCAACCCAGCCGGAGCAGAAGCCATGGTCCGGAGAATCCGAGGACAGATTGTGCCATGCGACTGTGTTCGAACTTGCTGCTGTGCACCAAACGGTAGACAAATAGCATGTTCTGAGTCAAGTGCGCATGTATAGGGTTGAAATGTTCCCACTAAATCCGCGAAACGTGCGTTTATTTTGTAGAGAACGTTGTTCATATTTAATCATACGTCTTTGAACGGCCGGTTGTGGCGTGCTTTTGCCATTTACCTTTCTTGTCCTGGACACTTGGTGGTCCGATGTGGTGTTCTCATTACACCAATACACCCCACTTGACCAGTACCGCGTGTTCTGGTATATACAACTATGCATTAGTAAGGAATCTCGGATACCCATTTCAACAGAATCACCCCTAAGATCGCATTAGAGCACTTAGGTTTTACGCTAGGTTCCCTCTTTTCTCCCACCCATTATTCATCATTCTTTAGGCCATTGTGGCTGTACTACCTCATTGTATCCGTTCAACTGGCTGATGTACTGCTGTTGATGATGATGATGATAATCTTGAAATTATTGACTACAAACGTTTATGTTAGAATCCACCACGTGGACTTTACTTATATGTTAAGCGTTTAGTTCTCCATACTTTGTGTGGGTCCCGTTGTCACCTCCGCTTGCGCTTGCTGACCCGAACATCACGTCGCGATTATGTGCATATAATAGACAATGAGATCACTAAAGTTGAAAATTCGCTTTTCTGCTCGGGCCTCGTGGACGACTTCAGATGTTGCAGCCATTGGCTTTCGCATGTAGGACGTTCAATGGAGTGCTGTGAGGTGCTGGCTACCGGGACAGTTGAACCGTTAGTCCAACACACTGGCTGTTGGGCTTCTCTGTGGGGCTTTTATAGTTTGCTGTTTAGTGATTTCTGCTTCCCATCCATCACTTACTGTCCACTGTGGTCGGACAGTGTCCCGATGTGCATATGCCGCGTTTGGTCGAGCTTGATTTACGAAATGCTGCAACGATTTTAGTCGTCAGTTCATTTCTTGATATCAGCTACGAAAACCTATATATAATTAAATTAGTTCTCCTCCTGGGTGTTCGCATTCACATGTGTTAACTTGTTTGCTTCATAACGCGTATTTCCATTGCAGATTCGACGAGGCTTCCTGCCCCCTCCGGAACGAACCAACAGATCTGGGAACCTTTCACCCTCCGTTGTGCGCATCGATCCATCAGAAGCTGAACTGGCGGCCGCGGAGGAAAAGGCAGCCAGAGCTGATGAACAAGAGGACGCAGACGACCCATCACAATTAGCGAAGGCTCGAAATTGGGATGAATTCAAAGATGAGCATCGCAGAGGCAGTGGCAATCGTATAAATCGTGCTTGAATTCGTGAATTTTGCTCCTCACTTTACGGTGATTTTATAAATAATAAAATTATTTCTTTGATTAACTTTCTGCTTCTTTTACCACTGTTATGCTGGTTTGCTATACAAGCCGATATTGCTCCACCATGTAACCACGGATCCGTGGAAAGCTTCAGCACATAGCTTTCATTCTGTTCCCCACCCCCATTTCGGCGATCCCATGTGCGTCTCGCGCTGTGTAGGCTGTTTTACCACCCACATTTTGGCTGATTACAAAGTCCCACCACTAAATTCTCATATAAAAGTGAACCATTTTTTTTACCTTCAGTGCCACCGAATCAATAGTCTGTTGTTACACACACAGTAAGCAGGACACATGTTATGAATTTGGCCTCTTCCGACGGTTGTACCTACCAAATTTCATCAATTTGCTTCGGGCGAGCTCTCTGTAGCATACTATTGGTTTTGTCGATTCATATTCTGTCTACATAACACCGCGTTATCATTATTTTCAACGCTCACTATGTCCACTGCGGTAATTTGATTGAATGAAATCCCTCTAAGTACATTTGTCACGCACACTGTTATTCTCTCAAAGTGTTTGTTTTGCTGTCATTCGGAGGACACATCGTGGCGCCATGATCAACCTCATGTATCCACCCGGGCTTATACTGTCCAAACTTCTCGTCCCGTAGCAGGTGTATGCCGGTACCAATTTTAACGATCAGCCACCGCATGAGACACACTAAACGCGAACCCTATTAAGGGAACCAGTTGCCTATTTTACTTCTTAATGGTTTATTTCATGCACCATCAGCTCTACGAGATCACGTCGTTTCTTTTTTCCCTCGCCGCCATTCTGATGTGTGAATCCAGTGCTTTTGTGTATCTGACCTTTGCATTTGGAGGCATTGAGTGTCGATCCTTTGAATAAGAACTGTTTTTCATACACTAACTTTAAACACCTGTAACCGTTCGTCTAAGTGTGGATAACTTATCGCTCAAACGTTTACTAATCGGATGTGGTTCGTGCTTTTGGCCAAGCTGGTTGGGCACTTGGTTGTGCACCGTTCCTATTTGTCTTACTTTCAAGCTGGTGCTTCCGTTATTCCAATACTCCAAAGTTAATTTTAACCTTCTTCCATCAGGATAGCCCTCTGGTTCTTGATCTTGATTGCGACTGCACACCACATGTCGAAAAAGGGGCGAGTGGAGTACATTCAAGAGTCAGAGCCGCCTTTCATCCGGCGTTTCAAAGAACGTGCCGGAATTGTCCAGCCTCCCACCATCGCTAGCAAGGTTAGCTCCTTAAAGTGCCATATTTCACACCTTATACCGATTCTTCACTAATGCTGGAGATAACCGAATTCATCCGCTTTACCTCATACCTGATAAATTGGCAAGCACCATACTCACTGGACCCTACACCTACTCCACATAAGCTTCCACGGTTGACTGTGTGTTAGAAACAGGAAAGCCTAAGATGCCATATTGCAGTGATTCACTTTCAATATTGACAACTACTTAGGGAACTCACGCAATTTACCTACCCCTAATGTAGGGGAAACTGTGGCCATTGGTGCCAAAACGGCGTTTGAAGTCAGCAGACATACATCGCGACTATACGTACAAGTTGCCTGATCGTACGCCTTATTTCAGAGGTTGCAATCATAGTGGCACTGCTTTTTTTCGCTGCCATTTTTCGCTGGCACTCATCATTACCAATACACGTTAGCTGGGGGTGAGAAACTCACGCCAGCTATTGTGCCACAACGCAAACGATAAAATACCAAACATTACAGAATGCAAAGCTAAAAAACAATATAATGCTAAGCATCATATAATATACGGAGTGTGAGCTCGTGATTGGAGGGGGAAGCAAAGCGGGAGGAGGAGTGACGCGGAAGCTCACAACATAAATACCATTAAGGTTGGCGCACAAGCCAACTGCGTGATGATCTAACTCTTGGAGACCATCAGAGACGCCGATCCATACATCTTTTACATGATTGAGTAATTTTCGCAAATTTGTGGTTGATCAGATAGTGTTTGATCGCATTCCGCTTACATTGACTTGATCCACATGCCCACATCTGGTGATGCTGTACGGACCCAAAACTAGTTCCCACACAACTTACCTTATTGGGCTTTGCTTCACGAAATCTAAACTGCGTTATACCATAGTTAGAATTATTTTGTTCTAAACCATATAATTCTTCTACACTCCTGGCTGCGTTTTCTGTCAATGACTATCCTGTAGCCTCAGCTGTTCCCCGTTATAGATTCCCGTAGTGTGTTGCTCGTTTTTTTCAGTACACCAGCGCCATGACACCCTGGCAGTTATCAATAGAAATTCTCAGTAATCAGATGTTCAAGCTGACGGCTGTTTCGACTAAGGAACCGAACTTGTTTGCTAGATGATTTGTTTTACGTCGAATGCGAACAGTCACCGGGATGCCCTAAACGACTGTCCCATCCTTTCGGTACCTGTCATTAGTGCTCATTACATATCCTTGGAGACTTAAAGTGAAGTCTTGCAAGTGTGTTTCGGAAAGACAGCAAACATCGATAGCAAGGGATTCCAAGACCAGTCTGCTGCCCAATCTGTATGAGCCTACGTACATTCAAGCATGCCAGGGAGAATGAGGACCAACGCTGAAGCAGGGCTACTGGACGAACTCTTGGTGTCAACGAAACCATCGGGAGTGAAATCATGGAAACAGGAATCAGGTAGAAACGGATAACAGTAATTGATAACAAGTGAACGAGTAGCGTGTGAATAGGGTGTGCAGGTAGCACAAGTTAAAGCAGCGGCGCGTGACATAGCAGACGAACAATCTATTTGTCGGTTCTGGCCGATGGCCATTCTTTCCAAGGATAAAACCAAGGTATTTGATGGTCGGAGTGAAGAAAGTACATTAGTCTTCACGAATCCGGAAGCCATACTTCTAGATACGACCAAGCGGTCAACTAATTCTTTGGTTGTTCTGCCCATTACGATATTGTCATCCAGGTATGCGCCGGCTCCAGGAACTCTTGCCAACATGGTACCCATCAGCTGTTGAAAATGGCTTTGACCGTTTTTACGCCAAATGCAAGCGGTTGTACCGGTACAACTTACGGTGGATGGTGATCGTCAATAGCTCTTTCGAGTCCTCGGCAACATCTGCCTGGACGTATGCATCAAACAGGTCAAGCTTGGCAAAGCACCTGCCACCATTCAATTTCGCGAAGATGTCTTCCGGTAATGGCAATGGGTGTTGATGGTCGTCGAGCGCAGCGTTAAGACCAGTTGAGAAATCTACGCAGACGTGTACTTTGTCATTCGCTTTCTTTAATGCGACAATGGGTGCGGCCCATGAGGCGTAGTTTACAGGTACGATGACGCCAGTTCGTTTTAGTCGCTCCAGCTCTTATTCAACGATTGTCATCGCTGCAAACGGGACCAGACCTTTAGCTTTAAAGACTTGCTTGGCTCTTGGTCGCAGGAACAGTGTCGCTTTGAATTTGGTGCAATGGTCTAGGCCATCCCGAAACACGGCGTCAACTTTTCGTTTTAGCAAATGTGTCATCACTTCGACCGACTTCGTTGCTGCATCTGGATTCGCTCGAATTCTGTTGCGAATCTGATTCAGTGGAAGATCGGGCAGTCGCAACTTTTCAATCAAGTCTATCCCAAGAAGCTTCAAGTTGGGCATACCTGACATGTAAACCGTCCCTCCTTTCTCTACCCCGTTAAATGCCATTGTGCAAGTAATTTCTGCGATTAAGTTGAGCACCCCTCCGGATGCGTTATAGGCTATTCTGTGAGACTTGATCATTGTTGGCCTCTTTCTGTGATTCCAAGTGTTCTTGGAAATTATTGTGATGTCTGTGGCCATTTCGAATTGCAGCTTCGTTGGGATACCGTTGATTAAGACGATGATGAATCCTCGTCGTATATTAGGTTCACTTTGAAATGCGGCAATTACCGAAAACGATTCTGCACCATGCTTTTGAGAGTTCTTTCAAGGGTGGAACTTCTTTGTGTTCTTCGGCCGGTCCTGGCTGCATAATTCTTGTGTATGGTCACGCTTACGACGCTTTATGCATATGCGACGTTTGAAAGGACGGAAACGCGCAGAACGCCATTCACCACTCGATCAGCAGGCTGTGGATGGCTTGTTCGGAGTCCTCTTGAACGGTTTTCTTTGGCTAACATTCCTGGCATTTTCCACAGCGTGAACGGCATCGGATGGTGCAGTGTGACACTGTTCGCTCAGGGCGGTCTCATGCTTCAAAGTGAGCAATCGTTTGCATTCGCCAACAAGAGCCTTTAGTGTCGAATCTGGGTCTTGATCAAGCTTAGCAAGAAGCCTCATGCGGATCTCGACATCACAAGAGGACTGCAGAGAACTGACGAAAATGAGACACTTAAATTGGTTGTCTATCAAAGATCGTAGTCTACAACGCTCACACTTGCAGTTAACCATGTCAGCTAGCACCCCATAATCGTCCGTTTCCTCATGTGACAATCTCTAGGCATTGATAACGAATGCTGAACTGAGTAACTGACTTACCAAATATTTCACTGGGCTGTGACACCGCTTCGTCGAAAGTCAGGTCCTTTTGTTGTTTGGACAGAATATGGTCGATGAATTTTGAATGTTCGCTCGTGCCGAGCTTGCAAAGTAACAAACACACTTTCCAGGAATCATCCTGACGACTAAAGCCCGTCTGGAACATATCTTCCCAGCGTTTGAACCACGATTCAAAAGTGCAACCGGAATCTGCATCATAATTACATTCACTGATCGCATTAGTGAGATCAACAGAATTCGCCTGCGTGTCCCGTGCTGCTGCTCCTGCAGACTGCAAACTCAAGCAATTCGTCAAATTTTCAATCCTTTTGATATGAGTTTCCATTTAGGATTGCTATTGCAAAAGCAGGTACTGAAATTTCTATTTTTCTACGTCGTTTTTTAAATGTTTGCGCGCGTTACAATTCCGACACATGCACTTAACTTATTCCGCACGACCTCAGACCAAAACGAAGGAAAATGTCAGAACGACCTTGCCCAAACTCATGTCAACCGAAGTCAAAATGGAACTGAACAATGGCGGTAGACCTTGGTCATATTTATAGGTTGCTTCATGACCTTCGAATTCTAGAATTAGGAGGTCAACTATCAAAATTAGCAGTGCCACGCTGATCCAACCAATCTTCAGGAGAATGTCAGTCACGGGCAGGTGTTGGAACATTCCAGTAAGTTCGAAGTCGATGCGGTAGTCGATTGCATTCAATGAACTACTGAAGTAGTGGTTTTCGGGGAACTTCTTACTTTCTCTTCTACGTGACTGCACCACGAAATCAGTGTAGAGGTAAGACAGCGTGTCTTGGGTGGAAGCAGCCACTCACTCGAGGCGCTCGTATCGCTGCGTCAATGGCTGTGGCTTAGACACGTACTGCACATGCCCGTTCAGCCTTTTCAGCGTCGTGTAACGTTTGCGGTTGCTGGACAGGGCCGGAGGACGCGGCGCGGTGGACGGCGAACGGTTGGAGAAGCTGCATGAAAAACCTAACGAAATACTTGGCTTCAGTTGCTTATTCTCCACTGCTTGGTTGGTGCCCCAGATAGACGGAGTGTCGCTGGTTAGAGTCCACGGTCATAGTTTAAGACACGCAGTAGGGGACTGTATCGGCCTGTCGCCGTGATCCGACCTACCTCCCCTCACCGATACACCATCTTTGCGTCATCCTAAGTCCCTTTAGAACATTTGCGTTAACTTTTCTATCTGACTTAATCTTGGACAGTATTCGCTGACAAGCACTATGAGTACTTTTGCGAGTTATTGCACTTAACACTCGAGCCGGTTCACCATTCTTAGTGCATGCAACAATGAGAATGGAATTTCGGTGTCGACTTAAGTTTTGCAATCATACCCAGGTGGGTAACCACTTGTTTCCTTTCGAGGCTCGAAAACTCCGCTTCTATGTAACGGAAACGCATCCGTAGATATTACAGCCAACTTCTTGTTTGAGTAAAGAGTTGCTAGAAATACATTTCCATGCTTTAGATCCCATCTAGCTCTCCCCCATTTGTCGATCAGCTTGATTTGGTTGACCAAACAACGCAACCTCAAGCGTAACGCAGTGGCATCACATTGAAGCCTAGTCTAACGGCAGTGCCAATTAGTTCATTTTCCCTTGTCTCAACAAGGTACTGAGCTCCGCCGAAGATTTCAACTACCCATAGGATCTTACAGTGCTATGCTTTTGAGACCGGCCCTGGGACTAAAGGACCACAAGCCCGCCTTGT